AAACAATATCCAATGCAGAGAACAATAAAATGAATAGATTTTTTTTGGTAAAGATTAAAGAAACAGACAAACCTTTGGTAAGACTGATCAAGAAAATATAAGAAAAGGTACAAATAAAGATTGTTAATAATGGAAGAATGTAACCAAGACACACTAGAGATCTAAAAGTAGTAACTAGAAACAGTTTTGTGCTAATAAATTCAAAATTTGGACAAAATATAGACTTTCTTAGAAAAATATAATTTACCAAAATTGATTGAAGAACTAGAAATCCTGAATTTTCTAATATCTATTAAATAAATTGAATTGGTATTTAAAAATTTACCTACCAAGCAAACAGGTAAATACAGCAGGCTAAGATGATTTTGACTCTATTAGTGAATTCTACAACGTATTCAAAGAACAGATTATTCTAATCTTAAATAAAATCTTCTAGAGAACAGAAATAGAGGGAACACTCCCTGACAATTTTTTTAGAGCAAGTATAACCTTGATACCAAAAAATAGAAAACAGTATAAGATAAAAAAAATTATAGATGAATTAAATTGTGCTAGTAGATGTACAAATTCTAAATAAAATATTAGCAATTATAATTTGGCTCTGTGTAAATAAGTAAATCATAGTCAACTTGGGTTTACCTCAGAAATGCAAGGATAATTTAACTTTCAAAAATCAATTAGTGTAGCTCACCATATAAATATGTTAAAGGTTGTGCTCATTTCAATATATAGAGAAAAATCACCTGATAGACAATTCTTTAAAGGATAGCTACCAAAACAAGTATTTCATGATTAAACATTAGAATGATTCCCCATGAAATAATGAGACAATAAATGCTTCCTGTTACTACTCATCAGCAATCAATTAGAGTTCCTGTCCAGCATAATAAGAAAGAAAAGAGGGCCAGGTGCGGTGGCTCATGCCTGTAATCCCAGCACTTTGGGAGGCCAAGGCGAACGAGTGGATCACTTGAGGCCAGGCGTTTGAGAACAGCTTGGCCAACATAGCAAAACCCTGTTCCTACTAAAAATACAAAAAAAATTAGCCAGTTGTGGTGGTGCACACCTGTAGTCCCAGCTACTTGGGAGGCTGAGTCAGGAGAATCACTTGAATCTGGGAGGTGGAGGCTGCAGTAAGCTGAGATCATGCCACTGCACTCCAGCCTCGGTGACAGAGCAAGACTCCGTCTCAAAAAAAAAAAAAATGTGTTCCCTCTAGTTCTTAGGTGACTTGACTTGAAAACTGGAGTTTCAAATTGTCATCTTGATGTCTATTAAGATTTTCACAAAATCACAGAAACATAAAACGAAGAGTATCATATCTTGGCCAAATACAAACTAGACTTGGCTCATTTATCTGCTTTTGATGTAAATGATAATTTTGACGAATTCTATTCAGTCTCTTAACTTCTTACCAAATAAAATGAAAGGATCTCATCTGCTAAACAATGCAAAAAGAGAGCTGTGATTTGCTTACCTGAGATATGGAGGCTTTGATAATGAAAGTTTTGGTCATTTCAATTTCCTCAAAATGTACAGAAGCACTTAATAAAATTTTTGACTTTATAGAAATAGAAGGAGATAGATTCCTTAAGCACGTGCCTATAAGGTGGCTATCACTGAAGCTGGCCACAGAAAAGATGTTAAAATGTTGGCTTGCCATAAAATATCTTTAAGTGTGGAACAAAACAGCATGGTCTGCTTCAATTTGGAAATACATTGAAGATGAGAATGGAGAGAAGGTTTATGATAAAACAGAAATAAAACTGCTGGTTCTCCGAAACTGTCTGATAATCCTCGAAGAGGCCATAGGTAATATCTGTTTCATTAGTTCTATTGTATACATTCTTTAAAAAATTCTTACACTTATTTTTCTCAAGAATATAATATAGCCTACAAAATTCAAATATGCAATAGAGCTAAATTGGTATACCAGTGGAAAGAAAGAAATCTTATGAATTTGTTGTATTTTTCTCACACATATTATTTGCTCAGTTAGTCCCTCTATTTATTACTACTAGTTGCTTTTTTTTTTTAAAAGAGACAACATCTTGTTCTGTGACCCACACTGAAGTGCAGTGGTATGCTCAAACTCCTGGTGTCAAGTGATCCTCCCACCTCAGCCTCCTGAATAGCTGGGACTACAGGTGCGACTTACCATGGCTGACTAATTTTTTTGTGTGTTGAGATGGGGTCTTGTTATGTTGCCCAGGCTGGTCTGGAACTCCTGGGTTCAAGCGATCCTCCTGCCTCAGCCTCCAAAAGTGCTGGGATTACAGGCATGAGCCACTGTTCCCAGCCTGCTATTTTATTTAATTGCATTTATGCAACAGAAAAGAAATACAACAGAATACACAATTCTAAGTAAATATCTATTTTTCATGTTTTTATGTTCAAGTAATTTATATGTTAGATTGGCAAAAATGTAAAAAGCCAGACATTTCTAACTGTTAGCAAGTGAAGAGTATCTTATATACCGTTTATAGAGTACAAATTGGTACAATTACTTTATGAAATAATCCAGCAATGTCTAGTGTATTAGTTTTCTATTGTATAATAAATTACCATAAATATAGTATGTTAAGACACATTTATTATCTCACAGTTTCTGTGGACCAGGAGTCCAGGCACAGTTTAGCTATTTCCTTTGCTTGGGATCTCACAAAACTGCTATCAAGGTGTAAGTCAGACTGTCTTCTCATCTGGAGGCTGACCTCTCTCAGGCTGTTGGCAGAATTCATTTCCTTGTAGTTGTATGACTGAGGGCCCTGGCTTCTTACTGGTTATCAGCTGGAGGCTGCACTCAAGTTCTAGAAGCCATCTGCAGTTCCCTGGCATGTGGTCTTCTCCATAGGCAGTTCACAACATGACAGCTTGCTTCTTCAAGGCCAGCAGCAAATCTCTAGCTCCAGTCTGGAAAGACAATCTTATATAATGAAGAGGAATCATGGAGGTGACATCCTATCATCTTTGCCATATTCTGTTGGCTAGAAGTAAGTCAAAGGTCCCACCTACACTCAAGGGGTGGAGACTATATAGGCAACACCAGGGACCAGAGATTATGGGGGCCATCTTAGATTTCTGTCTAATATATACAGTAAGGTTAAAGATGCAATGTCCTAGGATCTAGCAGTTTCCCTATATACAGTAGAGATGTACAAGAATGTTCATAGCAGCATTGTTTGTGATAACAAAAAATACTGTTCTATAATTTCAAATTTCTCAAAATATAAAATGATATTGTCAGAGAGACATTAGCTTATAAAACATCATGTACAGTAAGATAACACTTTTGTAAAAGTAACATACATAGGACTTCAACTTCCAGCAATGGCCTACTGTTGTTTTCAATCAACCTTTCCACTACAGAGAACAACTGGACAAAATATAAAAACGTTAATGTACTGAAGAGCTACCAAGGAAGTGAGAATTTGTGAGTGCAAGATCTGAAAGAAAAAGGAAGCCACCAGAGGTGAGCCTGATATTTGTCATCATTTTTCCAGAGCTAAGGTGATTACTGACTCTGAAAGCAGTGGCTGAAAAAGTGAGCAGAGCTTATGGTTGTCTCATGGGCCTTAGAAGGCCCATCAAAGAGAAGAGCCCCAAGTAAATGCCCCAGACTTTTGGATGGGACCATCAAGGACTAGCTAGGATTAAGGGTGAACTGGAAATAAATTAGCTTTCCCGAAGACTGAAGACCAGCTCTGAATAATCAGTCTTACCTCCTTATTGGAATAAGGTGATCTGTCTTCAGTCTAGCTGTGGTCAGGCAAACTTGCCCTTAAGTCTCTCCTGGTGAACACACCTTCCCTTTCCCCAGCCACATTGCTCAAACTTAACTCTGATCTTAGTAAACACATCGCGGGAGAATGCTGATGCAGCAGAGTGAAGTCCAGGACAAATGAACATTGCATAACCTAGGATTCAGGTAGAGTGGTCCTCTGTCTTCTCCTCTTCCCTGGGACATTTATAAATGTACTAATCTACCTCATCTCTTTTACCTTGCTTCTTGGCATATGTTTTAAATCTATCTACTATTCTGTGACCCCTGCTAGGCTGGCTTCAGTTTTTCTTTTGAAGCTACTACACTTGCTCCCCCAAAGAATTCCATCAAATTTAACATTAACAATCATTTGCTCCAAGTTTTCGTTTGAGAGCACTTGAGAGTAAAACGAGTATTTGTGTTTCATGTAGTTTCTTAATTATTATTATTATTATTATTATTTTTTTTTGAGGCAGGGTCTCACTCCGGTTGCCCAGGCTGGAGTGTAGTGGCGCGATCTCGGCTCACTGCAGCCTCATCGTCAACCCCGGGCTCAGGTGATTCTCCCACCTCAGCCTCCCCAGTAGCTGGGACTTCAGGTGCCCGTCACCACCCCCGGCTAATTTTTGTATTTTTAGTAGAGACGGGGTTTTGCCATGTTGCCCAGGCTAGTCTCAAACTCCTGGCCTCAAGTATTCCAACCGCCTAGGCCTCCCAAGGTGCTGGGATTACAGGTGTGAGCCACTGCACCCGGCACTTAATTATTTTTGATACTACTCATACATTATCAAGCAAAGGGGATGGGAGATAACTAAAAAAGGAATGTCCAGAAGCTTCTTGCATTCATGCTGCATGTGAGCCCTTTAGACACGAGGCGCTGACCTACTAATTTTGTAATACTCCCTCAGTCTTCAATCATTCCATCATTCATTCCATCAACGCGTATTAGTTACCTACTTTGTTAGAAGCTATACAGAGGTGAACATCGATCCGCCCTGGAAGAGCTTAGCAAAGACAGGTTTGTACATATAACTTTCTCCAACCTTTGTTATGGTCTGCAAACCTCCTTCTTAGCGAGACCCTCTCCTCTCCCCGATCCCCGACTCTTCACAGGCTGGGCGAGAACCGCTAGGAACGTGCAGCGAGAGAGCGTTACAAGACTACGTCTCCCGGCAGCCTCTGCGGCAAGCGCCGGAGGGGCGCGCGTAGGCGCTCGGGCCGGCCCCCGCACGCAGGCGCACTGCGAACGCCGGCTGAGCTGAGTCTTGCTGCTGGGTGCGCGGCGGCGGAGAGCGAGGCCTGCTGAGCACCGCCGAGGCGCGGGCCAGCTCTTCGAGGTTGTGCGCGGGAGCGGCACGGCGGGCGGGCGAGCGAGGGCTCACTTCAGCGGTGGCACCGGGATCGGTTGCCTTGAGCCTGGTGAGTGCGGGGGCTTTGCGGCCCCGGCCCCTCCCCCTCCCGCCGGCAGATCCGGGCCGTCCAGGAGGGACTCGGGAGAGGCCCTGGGGCGAGGGCGGGCGCCGGACGGGCCTCGAGCCGCGGTGCCTGGGCCCGGACGCTCGCCCCGCGTCCGTGCGTCACGGGCCCTGCTGTCCTAACGGCCGCGCGGCCGGCGGAGGAGAGGGTGGGGGTGGGGAGCCCTGGTGTGATCGCCATCGGGAACGCCGGTCGAGGCGGGGCGGGGCGGCGTGGCGCGGCGCGGCGGCAGGGCTGTAAGCGGCGCCGGGGACTGCGGAGTGCCGAGGCAGCGGGCGGAGAGGAGGCGAGCGCGGAGCCTGCGCCGCGGCTGGGCAGCGGGCGGGAGGCGGGGGTGGGCCGTGCAGAGCGCTCTGACAGAGGCAGGAAGGAGCAGGGATGGCGTGTAAAATTTCTAATCCTGGCAAGAAGGGACCGTCTTGGGAATTCACAAGTTACAGCCTGGGTCGGAGCCGGCGGCCCGGAGGGAGGTAGGGGAAGCGGGGCGGGGGGACGGGGAGGTGGAGACGACCGGCTGCAGTTTACAGATGTCATAACAACAGGGGCCTGGGGCGGCTGATTGGGGGTGTGGTAATTACAGGAATGACAGAACTTGGTCTGCACACCGCGTGTTAAAGTGGCGATGCGAGGGAAACAGCTAGGTATCAGATTAAGCTCACAACTGGAGGATAAAACTGAAGGATGACTGGAGTCAAGGGAGTCGTCATGAAGTAATGTTTTTAGGATTGGGTCGTGTTCCACTTTTAAGTGAAAGCATTCAAAATATTTCGTTTTTAAGGTTTCAACTCGGAACAAACGATTGCTGAATTTTTGTGTTTTAAAGAGATGGGGTCTCGCTATGTTGCCCAGGCTGTACTCCCAACTCCTGAGCTCAAACTGGCCTCCTGCCTTGGCCTCCCAAGTAGCTGGGACTAGTCTCGGGCAACCACACCCAGCAATGCAGAGTATTTTTTTTTTTTCTGAAACGAGTACTTTCAAGTAATATTAACTTGAATTTCACCGTTTTTTTCTTAAATAAACGGTTGCTTAAAAATCTCTATTAGTAGATAAGGTGATTCCCCCCCTCCTGTTTTTTTTTTTTCTTAAGAGATGGAGTCTTGCTTTGTTTCCCCGGCTGATCTGGAACTCCTGGCCTCAAGGCATCCTCCCCATTACCTGGAACTACAGGCGGTTGCCACCAACAAGGCTCATTCTCGACATTGTTTTTTTCTTAACTAGCTTTTGCATTTGTAATATTTTGAAAGCAGTTCACAAGTTATTTTTCCCTCCTTTTTAAAGATTAAAGAGATGAAAATTTAATTTTTCAAAGGAAAGTAAGAATGAGTACTGTTGTATTTTTACTGAAATAATATATTCCTGGAAGGCACTGTTTTATGGATAGATGAGATGTAAGAGAAAGTAAAGGAATTAACATTTATTGAGTTCTTTTTCAGGTATTGTGTTAAATGCTTTATATATATTAAAAACATTTAAATCTGAAATATCTGTTAATTTTTCTATTTTACAGATGAAAGCATTGACAATCAAATGTTAAGTAACTTACCTGAGGTCTTCTAGCTCTTGTTGAGAACAACCTTAGAACCCAAAGTTACTGCCATTTAAATTCTCTCCTTTCATACTTTTTCGTTGTGTTTTCTTTATTTAATTCGTTCAATCAGCGAATACTTATAGCGTGATCTTCTAGATTTGGGGGGATATAGTCGCGATCAAAACTCACTGTCACTGTTCTCATGGAATTTATAGTGTAGCGGGGGAAGCTAATATTACAAACATTGACTGCATAACATTTTATCAGTTATAGTTGAGTAGCAACTGTAAAGCACTCTACTAAATAGTAAAGGCAGTTGAAATGGAAGCAGACAACGTAAGCCTTGAGGAATTTACAGTCCTGTAGGGCAACAAAACATACATTTATGAAAACCTAGAATAAACTAAATGAGAAAGGTATCACCTGAAATCACTGTTCTTGCATTATGTTATTTTTTATTTTATTATTTTTTCTGGGGTTGGTGTGGGGGACTTGCTCTGTTGCCCAGGTTGGAGTGCAGTGATACGATCTGGGCTCCCTACAGGCTCTCTGCAATCTCCGCCTTCTTGGTTCAAGCAGTTCTCCTGCCTGAGACTGCTGGGACTACAGGCGCATACGGCCACACCCGGCTAATTTTTTGTATTTTAGTGTAGATGGGGTTTCACCGTCTTGCCCAGTCTGGTCTCGAACGCCTGAGCTCACGCAGTCCGCCCTCCTCGGCCTTCTGAAGTGCTAGGATTACAGGCATGAGCCACTGCGCGCAGCTGCATTATGTTACTTTATAAAGTGGTTCTCACAGAAGTTTCTTCACAGAACTATGATTTAATATACATCTTATCTAGAACTGATACATACCAAAAGGGGCCATGAAAAACATATTTTCTTTATTATAATCTAATGAAGAAATTTCTGATTTATTTATTGGTTCCTATAAAATACAGACCTTGGAGACAAATTCTTCCTAAGACCCCAGTATTAAGCTTTTTTTTTTTTTTAAACAGATGACTGGTTTTATTAGATTGTTTTGTAAGCCATCCTGTTTCTCCATACTTTTGACTGTCAGGAGGCTCAGAGCTGTGTTCAATTTTTATAATTTTCTTTAGTCTCAACTTTGTTAAAAATTATTTTATATGTAATCTGGAATTGCTGTCAGTTGTTTCCTGGATTATTTTCTTTATTCTCTGTTGCTCTCGATGGTCCTTTTCCCTTTACATTTGAGAATAGGATTATATCCTATTGTTTTCATCTTCAGTGTTTTAGCAGTGTTTGTTGTATTAATGATAAAATAGAGTTTTAATGATTTATGAAGTCTGTGCTTTTAAGTCTGCCAGATTGTTTTTAGATGTATGAATACTGTGTATAAAATCAATTAAGACCTTTGATTGGTCTTGCAAGTAAAGATGACTGACCTAGTGATAAAAGATAACTCTTTGTTTTGTTTTAAGGTATCTTTGTACTTTGCATGGTGTTACGAATTTAGCCATAATACGGAAGAAAACATTGGAAGTGGTGAATAGTTAATTAGCTGATTTGGGCTGATTTCTCTCTTTTGCTGTGGTAAGCAGGAGATGGCCTCAGGCCAACTGGAGACCAGATAGGGCCGGCATTAGAAAATTTTGAGGTTGTACATTGGAAGAGTAGGGATGAAGACTATGGGAACGTACGTTTCTTTCTTTTTTTTTTTTTTTTTTAAAGATGTTACAAATCTACAAAACAGAACATGAAAAAATGGTTCTGTCCAAGTGCTGTAGACTAATTGGGACAGTTCTTGAAAGCAGGCAGTAATCCAGAATGTGGATAATGGGGATAATCTCCTTCATATAACAACAGTAATGCTGCCCTTCATATACAAAGATAAGTCTGCTTACTCATCATGATTGATTTTCTAGCGTGAGGAGGGATATGTGCTGAGTTGTCCATGAGTCCCTATATACTCTGTGAGCAACGAGGCAGCTTGGGGTCAGAATAGGCGTTTGCAGCTAAGGAACAGAAAGACCTGCTGAAAATACTAACATCTGTTGATGGGTCAGGTTCTGCATCAGTTGCTTTCACTTAATTGTTCTTGCAAAACCATTTTGAGGTGGTGATTACATGTGCAAGGTGATTGGGTAACTTGCCTTACTTCACAAAGTAGTGGAGTTGAGATTCAAATAGGGCTGTTTGTACTGTGTTCACATTGATCGTTAAAGATCAGTTTTAGCCGTTCAGTCTCTTTGGCAAAACAAACTAGATGTAGTTTGTTTAACACCATGAAATAATACTGAAAATCTAATATAACCATTGTGAGATTGTTCAAGTTCCTTGTTTTGTCAACATTAAAAAAATAAAAATTTAAAATTAGAATACCTGAAAAAGCAGCTGTTCCTTGTCTCAGCTTCTGCACTTGAGAAGCTACCATTTTCTTTCTCCTAGCTGTTTATGTTTGCTTTCATATTTACAAATACAGTGACTTGCTTTTACTGCTATTTCATGATACAGCAATTATAGATATTATTGGCTTTCTTCTAAGTAAGATGATCCTTAGTGTTTCACATATATATTCACCTCACCTGCCACATGCACACACTGACTCTACCATCCTCCAAATATAGTTACAGGTGTTTATTAAACCAATATTTAGTGTTTACAATATTATAACTATATAAATGTTCACAGCTGACCCATGTAGAGTACTATGATATCATTTCTTCTCTTGATAAATTTTTGTTTTTCTAGAAGTTAGTATTTTTTGTTGTTGTTTGCTTCATTTCGTGAGACAGCTAACCTAGAACCTCTTAATGCAATTAGGACTAGTTACTTTCTAGTCCTATTTCATAGTTGTTTTCCTGGGACTTCTCTTTTCATCATCCTTAAAATTATTTGCCCTCTCTAGTACTGGTTCCCATTTACTGTTTCCTGTATTTTCTTTTTTGGTTTACTTCCTTGGAGTACGTTTTTTAGTAGCTTTCTGAGAAAGGATACATGGAAAACAAAAACTTTTCTGACATCTTACATGACTGAAAAAAATTTTTATTCTGACTTCGCATTTGATCGATAATTTGGGTATAAAATTCTGAGCTGAAGGTAACTTTTACTTCAAGTTTGCAAGTCGTAGTTCTGTTGTTTTCTTTCTTCCAGGGTTACTGTTGAAATCCGAAGCCAATCTGATTCTTCATTTGTATGTGATCTTCCCTTACTGACCCCCAATCTCTAGAAGTTTTTAGAATATTTTTAACCCTTGAAGTTCCGTGATGATATGTCTAGGTATGGGCCTTTTTTTGTTTAAGGGCATTCCATGGACCTTTATAAGCTGGGAGTTCTTGTCCTTTAGTTCTGGGAAGTTTTCGTTATTATTTTGGACGTTAGGTAAAAACAGTTTTAGAATGAATTATGCTTCTCAGTTCTTGTCACACATCAGGTCATACAGGTCCTTTAA